GAGAGAAAAACACAGCAGTTGCATAGAGGAATGTCTTATACGAAATGACAATGCATGAGCAACTTAGCAACTTTGAAGGGTTCGTCTGAACGGACTTCCAATTTTTCTTGGTTTTTTGGGCGCTTGGATCTTTTTCGTTTTTGGCTTCGCTTGGATCAAAGCTGCTGCAAAACTTTAAGCACTATCTTGTAGAGCTAGGTTTGCTCTATCTATCTATCTAATATATTAAGAATCGTCAACTCAATTCAAAAATCTGCAAATAGCGGGAAACCGCATGGCGGGTCCCGGGGCGAACGCTCTTGCAAGTAGCACCTTTAGACTACTGGTTCACTAGTCTAATAATATATCGAATCCTATTTGGGATAGGGGATTATTTTGGATTATTGCGGTCTGTACCTATTTTGGTGCAGGATTATGCATCAACCTAATACAAAGTGAAACCAAGAATTGAAAAAATGTCTTTTTAATTCTGCATACTCCAAAAGTTTTAGACAAAGCAAGCATTAACTTTGGTATTATATGCATAAAATTCTACATTCAAATTATGATGAAAGAACTTGGCATCACAATAAATAAGAACAAAAACATGTTATTTAGTCAAAATGAAACATACGACTAAGGCCCGTATGCACGTACATCCCCGCGGGGAGGGGAGGGGATCTGAGAGGGGAAGCGCCATATCTCACTGCTCTAGATATCTTTTTTCTTTCTTTTCTATCGTGCTTATGAGGGTTCTCATACCCTTATACCTGCGCACAATAGATGCCAGGTTACTGCTATACAAGATTAAATATTCACTATTTCTTCCGATCCCCTGGGGATCCCCAGGGGATCAGACGAAATAGTGAATATCTAATCTTGTATGGCAGTAACCTGGTACCCGTTATGCGCAAGTATCAGTGTATGAGAACCTTCAAAACCAAGACAGAGAAAGAAGAAGAAAGATACATAGACTAGCGAGATATGACGCTTCCCCTCTTAGATCCCCTCCCCTCCCCGCGGGGATGTACGTGCATACGGGCCTAATATCACAATGGAGAAGTGACTGAAATAATCTATAGGCATAAAAAAATTCTGTAATGCAAACATACTACCACTAAAATGTTAATAATGTACCACTGATATATTACTTACCTAAGCTACAAAAAATCCAGTCAAGTTCAGATTTATTACTGGTGCTACACACAGTAGATCAAACCGTTAGCAATAGAGTTAAAGATATTTTCACATTTATAAAATCTCATTTCAAAAACTATCTAAATAGTTTTAATACCGGAAATCATTATCTCATAGGATATTGGTCAATAGATAATACCAACTCTTATATATAAAGCTGAATGTCTCTTTGTCTGTCTGTCTGTATGTCTGTACGTATGTTCCGAATAGAAAATTCCATTTCTGAACCGATCCGGACCAAGCTTGGCACACATACACTTCCGGCCCCGGCGGGTGTCATAGGCTACTTTTCATCATCAATCGATATCGATTTTATCGATTCTTTTGCAAGGTTTGACCTACGGGGTTGGGAGTTTGCATAGGGGGGTAATCGAGCATGGGGATTCCGAATACAATATTAGTTTTCAGGATTATCGATTACTTTTATCGATTTTATCGATTTTTGCGAAGTTTGAGCTACGGGGCTGGGAGTTTGCACAGGGGGTAATCGAGCATGCTGATTACGAGTACAATACTAGTTTTCAGAATTATCGATTACTTTTATCGATTTTATCGATTTTTGCGAAGTTTGAGCTACGGGGCTGGGAGTTTGCACAGGGGGTAATCGAGCATGCTAATTACGAATACAATATTAGTTTTTGAAATCGTCCATTACTTTTATCGATTTTATCGATTTGCAAAGTTTGAGCTACGGGGCTGGGAGTTGGCACAGGAGGGGTAGATGGGCATGCTGATTTCGAAAACAACACAGGGAACGGGAAATGAAGTGTAGAAATTGGCACAGGGAAAGGCTGTACAGGGATAGGGATGGGACCTTCATTACAGTATTTTCACAGGGCCGGGCGGAGCCGGGTAAGCAAGCTAGTCACAGATAAAATAAAAAATATTACAGCTAAAAATATGAGTATATATACTGCAGATTTCACAAATATGCTTACAAATCTACCACATAATGTTATACAGACAGATATCAAACCTGGTCTTATTATGCTCTAAGAATGCAAATAAGGAATACGTAGCATACAACGGCTAAAATAAAATCTATAACACTAATATAACACATCCTCAATCAAATTATAGATAATATAATATAAAAGATTTATTATATTATGTTGATTATATATTTGATAACAGCTTCTGTAGATTCAGCTTATATACATTTGAGAAAAAACAGTTGTTCCTGAGGGAGGTAACTTCAGTCCTTTGTTGACAGATTCTAACATTATCTTGTTATGAATATCGTTATTCTGCACATGACTATAATTGTAATACAAATTTTTCCCTTTGGATACATAGATGACTTGTTAATCACAGAAAATTTTTAAGAGAATGGCATACATGAATCAATCAAACAAGCTTATAATAATAAATCAGGAATAGAATCAACTCAAATAAAAACCATTGCAATCATCTTGATCTAGATATCAAGTTAGAAAACAATAACTTCATAACCAAATTACGCAACAAAACAGATAATTTTGATTTTGAAGTCAAGCGATTTATACATTACACCTCAAATATTTCTATACAAATCAAAAAAAGCTACTATTTATACTGGGACACTTAGGATTGCTCGTGCATGTACTTTCTTCTCAAATTTTCTTGAAAAGATTTGACATTTAAGAGAATATTTGAAATCCAATGGATATGACAAAGACACACTCTCCTCAAGTATTCGCAAGTGTTTACATAGAAATGAATTCATATCATATAAATATGGTCTATATGGCATACAGTAATGGGAGTATTAACAAGTTTTTCAAATATTTTTACTAATAAAACAAACCATACTTTGTATTTTCAACTGAACACTGAAAATGGTTTATGTTTGATACAATCCATTATCATGAAGTCCTTTCACAAACACTCTCAACATTGGTATACTTCATTTCGAACGTAATTAATGCATAATGTGGTTATGCGCAAGCTAACCATATATTATATTGAGTTATTGTTATCCATTTAACAAAGTATATTTGTAGGTAAGTAATTTACATTACTTTTATAGATTTGATACAATAAACATGTAGAACCATGTATGATTAATCACATCTATATTCAAAAAATTATCTTCTTACTTACATAATTACTTCGAACTTTATTTTTCAAAAAATTCATATGAATACTTAACTCCTAAAAACTAACATCTCAATGTTAAAAATAAGTTTTGCAGACATTCCTTCCTTACTGAGGAGTTCCGGGAAAGGTCTATAAATACTTTTACTTCGTCAAAGCAGGAATGAAACAGAGCTTTCTGGTTATTTACACATCACATTGAAAACTTTACTTCTCATTATCAAAGCCAGCTCTATAAAATGGTGCCTAAAGCTTCTCGAAAGACTCAATGACAAGAGAGTCATTGATAATCAAACAGTAGGCACATTTTTTGGGACACCCTGTGTATTTAGCTGGCTTACCCGGCTCCGCCCGGCCCTGACAAAACACTATGATAAAAGTCCTATCCCTATCCCTGTACAGCCTTTTCTTGTGCCCTCTTCTGCATGCCAATTCCCCATCCCCGCTGTGTTAGTAATTGGCATGCTCACTTACTCCCTTATGCCAACCTCCAGCACCGTAGTTCAAACTTTGTAAGGATAAAATCGATAAAAGTAACGGATAATTGCAAAATCTAATACTGCACTCGTAGTCAGCATGCTCAGTTACACCTTGTACCAACTTTCAGCTTCGTGGCTTAAACTTTGCAAAAAATCGATAAAATTGGTAAAAGTAGCGGACAATTCTGAAAACGAAAATTGTATTCGTAATCAGCATGCTAATTTATCACCCTCCTCCTGCGCCAACTCCCACCCCGTAGGTCGAATTTGCAAAAAAAATCGATAAAAATCGATAAAATTGGTCGAAGACGAAAAGTAATCTATGACACTCGCCCCGTTGCAAGTGTATGTGTGCCGAGTTTGGTCCATCGGTTTCAGAAATGAAAATTTCTATTCGGAACATACGAACATACAGACGTGCATACTTACACACAGACAGACAGACATACAAACAGACATTCAGGCTTTATATATAAGACTAGCTGGCATGCCCGGCTCCGCTCGGCCCTGTCAAAAGACTATGATAAAGGTCCCATTCCTATCTCTGTTCAACCTTTCCCTGTGCCCTCTGCTGCGTCAATTCTTTACTCCCGCTGTATTCGTAATCAGCATGCTCACCTTACCTCTCTGTCCCAACTCCCAACCCCGTAGCTCAAACTTTGCAAAAATTGGTAAAAGTGACTGATAATTTTATAAACTAATATTGTATTCGTAATCAGCATGCTCGATTACCCCCTGCGCTGCGCCAACTCCCAGCCCCGTAGCTTAAACTTTGCAAAAAGAACGATCCACAATTGAAAGTCGATAAAATCGATATCGCTCGATGGCGAAGAGTAGTCTACAACACCCTTCCCCTCCCCGAAGTGTATGTATGCAAAGTTGGTCAGGGGTTCAGAAATAAGAATCGCTATTTGGAACATGCGTACAGACAGAACACCCATATACATACATACACACTAACAGACACTCAGCTTTATATATAAGAGATCGATAGTGGATGGGGGAAATGAGGGGGGTGCTCAAGAGAACCGACGTCGCTTCAGTCACGCAGATCAAAAGTATTTTATTCTTTTTCAAATTTCCACGGGCATACAAAATTCTCACGGCCTGAAAATCGAAACAAGGAGTCTGGGTCACTTCCCGCATTGTCTTCTGTACGAAGAATTCTTCAACGGACTTCAAATCTCAAACGCGTTTTTGTGCAAAGAAGTGTGGGATATTTGGTGGATATTTAGTTAAAGTTGATTCGTGAAAATTTAAATTATTTAGGATAGCCTTTCTCAGTTTTTTACGCCATCCACGGGACGACGCTGTCGACAGCCACCGCGCAAGTTTGCCGAATCTGGTGTGAACAGTGACGAGAGTTTGCATCTCAGTAAGTCTCTCGGGTAGCAGCAGCGGAAAAATCTTGAGATTGTGTTGTAGACGACATCGGAGGAAGAGTCGATTCAAAACCAGAAATGTCACAAAAGCATGCGAATTTTAGTGAGCATATGGTCACGGTGAGTAAAGCATGTTAAGGTGCAGTTGTTTCCTCTTTTGATATATAATCATCAAAAAAAAACTGAAGAAGTTGCGCTCACGAAAATTCCTGTTGAATTTCCTCTTTTTCATCAGAACAGGTCACCGGCAATTGGAAACTTAATCGATTAACGTAAAAATAGCAATCTGCAGTGTCTGATTCGAACAACATCCTTCTCTAATCATTTTGTTAGGGCTATCTTTTCTTCTAATAATAAGTCAAATTCATTGTGTCGTTTTCTAATAAGCGTTGGGGACTTATTTTGATTTTTCAACGTCTGAACAAGATCGAGTTAAGAAAAATGAATAAAACGGTACAGAGAGAGAAGATACGCTCAAATGCTACCAAGGAATATCAAGGTTTCCGATTGGGTGGTTTTTGGAAGCCACGATGAAGCAAGTGCCCCTACAAAAGAAGAAGCGAAAATACATGTTCGTACAGCATGAAGAAGTAAAAATGCAACGTGAGGGAATGATGTTATTGCTTTGAGCGCTAGTGTTTAAAATATTAGATTGTGCAACAAGTTCAGAGTGAATTTAGCGGCATTGACCAGGGGCGAAGAAGATCATCAAGAAGAGTTCGGTCTCGTGAGAGGCCTATTTCTTTGACAGAGCTCTGCCCATGAATTCCATCAGGCTTTTCATCCAAGGAAAGGAAGCGACAAGCCGACCGAAGAAGACGCTAAGTCTCATTGAAATGCTCATTTATGTCCATTAGTTTTCGATAAAGCTGGGGCGTACCATAAGGGCGACGAGCATTGGAGCCAGACGAATGTGAACAGGAAGGGACGGTCACCGCCTTAAAGGCAGTGTCCAGGCAAATTTGGGCACATGGGTTTTTGCCTGGAAACCGATGAGGAGGTTTTAGCTAAGGCTCTGCTCAAACCGCAACGTATATGATTCATTCACGGCTGATAAATCCACTCCCAAACACTCTGCGGCTGCGCCGTGACCGTAACACTTAGGATGGGTCCCAGCGCGAACGTAGCGTTAAAGTGAACGAAGTCGTTTTCAGGTTACGGTCACGGCGCAGGCGCCGGGAATTCGGGGACGGATTTCTCAGCCGTGAATGAACAGCTTGCGCTGCCCCTTTGGCAGTGCCTCAGTTAGGACCCCGTCATCAATATCCAGGCGAAAAACGCATGCGCCCAAATTTGCCTGGACACTGCCTTTAACAAGATGGGCGGGAAGGCTAAAGAATCTAGGGTTATAGCAGGTGACGGTTCAAGTTGTGAGAAACGCTTCGATTGGCCATGCTTTGAGTTTCTATACAAATGAGCAGGTAACAATAGGAACGTTGTAGGCATAGTCATCTCCAAAGCACTTGGGAATCGATTCAAGGATGTATAAATTGAGTGAGTGATCGTCTCATGAGCATTAGATTGGATGTGGAGAAGGGGACGCTTTGAGTCGTTACGACTGTTTCTCAAGTATGGTGCGGACAAGTAAAGAAGGGAGAATTTTAGCAACAGCTCGACGACTCTATACTACGGAAAGAATTACTTTTTATATAGCGGATTTCAAAGGACACGTAAATGAGCAGCGTGTGGTCTACGTGTTGCGGAAACCACGGATACAGAACGCCTCACGAAAGTGTATTGTGGCGTTCGCTCGTCTCAAGATGGCATTAGCGTAAAATACTTCATCAAAAAGTTAGGAGTCCTAACGTAAAATACTTCATCAAAAAGACCAGTCACCTCTCACATATACGAGCGGCGACCGCAAAATGCAGAAAAATTTTTCTAAGAGTATGCAACCAAGCTTGAAGGCAGTGTCCGGGCAAGATGGGGATTTCGGGATTTTAGTGCCATGCGAGAGTGCCCCCCCCCCTCAGACACAAAATCGCGTAAGTGCGACGTCATAACACTCGACCTAAAGCAAGAAAAACGACCGGAAAGTAGGGAAACTTACGCCTTGGGGCGAGGTCCTCCGTGCTGTCCAAAATCCTGCTAGGCGGCAGAGTATGCATGCCGCCACAGTCGAAATCGTAGGGTCCCGCAGCGACTCTGCGTCTTTGCCTTGGTGGGGACCGTCAAATTTCAAATTTTGCAGCTCTGGAAAACGTACGTTCTCGCCGTTGTTGCGCCTTCTAAAGTGAGTTTTCGGATTCAGCGTTGCGGATGGGGATTTTCTTAAAATCGAGTTCTTGCCCGGACACCTTTAAGTACGTAAAAGATAGCAAAAGTAATAAGTAAGAATTGCATACCCCAGCAGGAGAAACTATCACTGGGTCTGAACATCCTAACTGATATAAGAAGAAGAAGCAACGTGCATCAGTCAGCTGGTGAGCACTAGGATACACGAAGCTCGGAAAATGGAAACTTGACAAGGAAACTTGGTTGTGGAACTGTTGTGGAACGCGTTGAGTCGTTGACGGTTTATTAGAAAAAAAAACAAAGATTCCCCTTATACACATAGGCGTATATGCCGTGGGTTCACTAGGATCAAAGCAATAACAGACACAGCAACACGTAAATATATCAAGATACGGCGGGTACGCCGCAGCCACCTAGGTCGCCTCAGTCTTAGCTATCAATAATGAGCGAGTTCCAGTGTACGTTGAACAGCGCTACAACACCTCCCTCCTAAGATGAACAATGGCATATCTTGAAATGAGGATCTATTTAAATTTAAATATTTAAAATTATTTAATATTTAAATATTTAAAATTAGGAACACACAGAGTACTAAGGCATGAAGGATCGAGTTTTGAAGTGACCGTAAAGATTTTAGCACGTGAACCTAAAACGGCTGCTCGCAAGTTTCTAGAAGCATTGTGGATTCATGCTAGGAACCCACAAATCAACCGTAAAGAAGAATGCCTCGCAATCACGAGAGAACTATCTCCTTATCTGAGCCAACTATGCTGACCTCCCATTTAGTTCTTCCATATACGGTCAGCCCAGCGGTCGTTCTACCAAGGGTGTTGTTTGTGCGGTGAGTAACTGTTGCAAAGCTAGTGGCCAAAATTAAGGCTTAGACCTTTTTCTTAAGGCCGTAAAGACATTTGCCCGTCTGGGTTACGAATCGATACCCCATTCAGGCCCTGACGAAGGCGAGAAGCCGAAACGTTGGCCAATAAAGTTTGTAACAATCTCGGCGTGTGCTACAAGACATCAATCTCAACTTATTTGAAGACGATTTGGTGGTCGACGATGGCGGCTTGATCTGGTTGATGTCAGTGGGGTGGTTGAAGTTGCTTGGTTACCAGTGACGTTCATGCCATTGTCCATTCGGCTTTCTTCATGACGCGTGGTGTGTGTCGGGTCACAACGGCACTCCATACTTCCACTGCACATCTGAATCGCGTGTCGTCGCCATAGCTGGTTATCTTCCGTAAACACATACTGTACGGCTTCTCCATAGCGTTTCTTCGCACGAGCTGGAATCCATTTTTCGCATCTCGAGCAAAAATCAGTACCCACACGGCATCTTGTGGTTGGTATGCTATCTTTCGAGCTCCGTGACGGCGGTTGAACTATTTCTCCATATTTCAATCCCTATTCCTTCTTTTGTGGAGTCTTCGTTCAGCAGCAATAGTGGTGTCCTTATCTGCCGTCGCAGGAGTAGCTCGGCAGGTGAAGGTTCCTGGAGCACTTGTACAAGGCGTTCGTCGATAAGACTGCAGAAACTCCTCAAGCTTCTCTGCTGTTCCTCCCTCCTTAATTTTCTGGAAGGTCCTTTTGAAAATATTCACAAACCAGTGGCGTACCAAGGGGCGGGGGGGGGGGGGGGGAACGGGGGGGGGTGCCCCCCCCCCCCGAGAATGGGTCGCGAAGTTTTCGAAAGTTACTTATATGGGTTATAAAAATGTGCAAGTAACTTGTTCATAATTGCAAATAATTAAAATAATTTCTAAAAATCTTCAAAAATTCAATTCAGCCTTGTAAAAAAAATTTTCGGGGTTGGGGACCCGCAAAATTTTGAGAAGCACCACTAAATTTTCTTTGGATTGCGTGGTTAACGCCACGCACCTTCATTCGAAAAAAATTTGTGTTCCCCCCCCCCCCCCGAGCGGAAATCCTGGGTACGCCACTGCCACAAATCTCCGCTTGTCCATTTGATTGCGGATGGAATGGTGGTGAACGCACATGTTTGATTCCTCGCTCTTCACAAAAGTCCTGGAACTCCTTTGCTGTAAACTGCGTCCCACCGAAACGATCACTCCAGGATTTCCGAATCGTGTGAATAGCGATCTGAGTTCTTTCAGGGTAGCTGTAGTTGACGATGAAGGCATCTCAAATACTTCTGGCCATTTTGAGTTAGCGTCAACTACGACGGTACATCTTACCATTCAGCGGCCCTGCGTAGTCAATGTGAAGACGATTCCATGGTTTGTCTTCTCCTTTCCACGAATGCAGCAAAGTCTTCACTGGCATCTTAGCTGCGTCCTGACATTCCCTACAGCGGCGTACTGAATCTTCAATGCTTCTGTTGATGCCCATTCAGTATGCGAATCCTCTCGCGAGCGTCTTCATCCTTGTCATTCCAGGGTATCCCTCATGTAACTGCTTCAGAACCTCGTGGCGCACGAGACTGGAATGACTATTCTGTGGCCAAAATAAACTCTCGCCCGGTGCTCTGCAGTTTCCGACTTCTCCTTTCGGCTCGAACGGCCATGCTCCTGATTGCAGCATTCGTATGACCTGGGCAATGGTTTCGTCCTTACGAGATTCTTCTTCAATCTTCCTCTGGGTCACTGGTAACGCTCGTACAGCAGCAGCTTGAACAGCTCGCACATCTCATCTCAACGATGGAGTGTAAGCCGCGATAAAGAACAAAATGATCGAATAGTATATGGCAAAAATCAATCAGAAGATGTTCACAAAAATGTCTGGTAGCGAAATGTATAGCAAGTGTCAGACAGGAGTGTCAGACAAGCGAATAAGGAGCGATCGCTATAGTAATGTCGGAGCACTTTTACACAAGAACATGTACAAGAGAATGCAAGATGGAGAGCGCACTCCGCGAAGCTGGTGTC